CTCCTCCTCCTGCTTCTTCTTCTGCTTCTCCTCCTCCTGCTTCTTCTCCTGCTGCTTCTTCTCCTCCTTCTTCTTCTCCTCCTCCTGCTTCTTCTCCTCCTTCTTCTGCTTCTCCTTCTTTCTTCTCCTTTCTCCTTCCGTCAAGTGAACATAAGATGGAGCAAAAACAATCCAGACGCCTTGAGCTTACCGTTTGTGCTTATCTATGGTTTTAAATAAAGCTCTGTGGGTTTGAATAGACGCTGCATGTTTCTGCATTGATTACTTTATTATTTTCCTCATGCTGTGTTTATTCTGCGACACTTACAGACGCTTTGTGATCCTTTAATCCAGTTTTTAACTGTTTCCTGTCTGTCTCCTCAGCCTCCACCAGGTCGACCCCTGTCTCTGAGCCGTCCAGAGACCGGGACAGAGAGAGAGAGAGAGACAGAGAGAGAGACAGAGAGAGAGACAGGAGGTGAGACACAGAGCGCTGGTTCTTCAAACTTAATTAATTAAGTCAGAAATCTGCCCTCAACAGCTTTTAGTTTTCTCTTGATGCTCTTTAGTTAAATAAACTTCACGTATAGTTTCACACCCTCCTCCTCCTCTTCCACACATTCTCTCTGATTTGAGTCATTAGGACACTTGTTGTCGACACTATATGTATATTTACACAACTAAACAGTCACTTTGCAGATGATTTAATAATAATAATAATTTAATAACACGGGCTGTTCTACCTGAATAAACAGACTTCCTTGATGGAGACGTGTCACATGTATGTCATCATTCCCTCTGCTGACGCGTGTCGATACCGTGTGTTTGCTCTGTTGTTGACTTCCTGTGTTACCTGTCGCTAGGCGACCGGAGATCACCATCCTGTCCGCTGAGCCGCTGTCGTCCACTTCCTGGTTCCCCGGAGCTTCAGGAGGATTCCCACCTCCCCCTCCCCCCGCGGCGCAGATCTGGGGACCCACAATCCCTCCGTCTGTGCAGGTACCTCGTAGACGTGGATCCGGTTGTTGTGTGTGTGTGGTTGGTGTTACGGGTTGTTTGTTAGTTGCAGGATAAAAACATTCAATCAGACGTGAATGAGATTTGGTTAAAACGTTTTACCTGCAGGTGGAGAATCTGTTAGTTTCATTCGTCATCATATTGTCTTCTCCTCCTCAGCCTCCTCCGTCCTACGAGGAGGTGATCAGAGAGAAGACTCAGGAGCAGGTTCTCCTTCCTCCTCCGTCCTCCTGCTCCTCCTCTTCCTCACCACGTCCGGCGTCTTCAACAACGATCGCCACCCAGACTGACCCGGGATCAGCCCCCGACCCCGAGGACTCTCCGGGTGAGAGGGAAGCTCCTCTTTTTCTTTATTTATTCATTTATTTATTGTAAATATTTGTGTGTTTTGTGTGCAGTGAGAAGACCGGTGAGACCGCCGCGCCCTCCCAGACCGTCTCACGTTGATGACATCACCGTCGCAGCCAGCCAATCGTCTCCCGACCTCCTCGCCGAACTCTGCCCACCTCTGACCTCGACCTCCGGCGCTCAGACCGACCGATGGGATCTGTCTTTCGCCGCTGTTGACGTGGCAACCCCTCCGGCCACTTCCTCGCGCGTCCCGTCGGAGCGTCCCAGGCCACGCCCCCGCACCAGGCTCGACGCTCGGCCGCTCGACGGCGACGTCAGGGTTCAGACGCTGGTGAAGCTGCGCGAGGACGGCGCGTCGACGCTGCTGGCTGCCCGCACGGGAGCTACCGCCAACCAGGAAGTGAGTCGGGGGAAGTACCTCCAGGAGCTGCTCGAGGCCTTCGGCGACGACGACTGGGGATTCCCCGATCACCGCAGCGACAGCAGTGAGGACAGCCAATCAGAGAGCGAGAACGAGGAGGACATGGCGACTCTGAAGGCGAGGATACAAGCCTTCGAGCAGCAGCAGCAGGTGGCTGACGGGAGCAGCGGAGACGGTGACAACGCCGACTTTGTCGTCGCAAAGAGACCTGAACCTAGGCCACGCCCTCGTCTTCAGGGGCAGCCGGCCAAATCCGTCCCGCCCGCCATCGCCCCGAAACCTAAGAACTTTTCACAAGCACCCAAACCGTCCAGCAAGGTATTCTGGGAGGACAGAGGTTTGACGGACTCGAGTCGCGCTGAGGCTCAAACTGCGACGGTTCCGCCGAAATCTGCTCCAGCTTTGGGGCCCCAACCCTGCAAAACCTCTGAGAAACCCTCGGTGGCACCAAAACCCCAGTCTGCCACGGACCCCCTCCAGTCTGGTACCTCCGCCCCCGTCCCGGCCCCCAGACCCGCTCCACCCAAGCTCTCCTCCTCTGTCAGTGAGCCGGCCAACCCCAAACCTCCGCCCAGACCTCCAGTGGCCCCCAGGGCCAGCCTAGGAGCTCCGCTCCGGGATAAGAGCACCACAGCCGGGCACGACACCCCGACTCTGACCCCGAGACCCTCTGTGGAGGTCAGCGGTCCGGATCAGGCCGGAGGCGCCGAGACGCTGGACAACGCAAACCAGACCGGTGAGTGTGTTTCTGTCGGAGCTCTTCACTGACCTCTGCAGGCAGCTGGCAGGAACTACAACAACAATGATCCTCCAACAGCAGCTGAAGACACAAATGTTTTCAGTCTCTCACGGCCCACAGATGTGTTTCCGTGTTGTGTTTCTGCTGCTGTCGTAAACAGAGTGACTCATAATAAATGACAGACGTGTTTTTACTGAGAACAGGACCTTAAACTCTAAATATAGAGAGAAACTATCATAACTAGAGATGAATCGATGAGCAGAAAAACAGATTCCTTCTCTCTTAAATATGTATATTTGTTGTTTTATTGATCTTCTGGGATAATAAACTAACAGAGAAACAAGCTATTTGAATAAGTCACACTGAGCTTTGGGAAGTTTTGTTATTTTATTTTAATTATTCATCAATAAGGAAGGACAATAAGCTTTAGCTGCGGCCCTAATCACAAGAGTTTAACATCTGATTATCATGCTTAATAAAAGGTTATTACATCTTTTTACAATCGGCACAGAAAGGATTGTTTCAGTCAAAGAGAACTGTGGAATAATAATGAAGAAAATGTAAATTGTGAGACAACACTGGTGTTAATCTGCTCTCAGTGCAGCTGAGTTTGGACTGAACTTTAAAACCTCAGCTGGTGAACTCCTCCTCCTCTTCTTCTGTTTCTCTGCTGATGAGAGTTCAGAGTCATTCACTGAACCTCAGACCTGATTACAGGCTGCAGTCGATACACGGACTGAAACTAAACCTGCAGCACAGAGAGTTAGCTTAGCGCTAGCGGAGGTTGAGTTACATCGTGATGTGTTCAAGCTCCGTTCAGTAAAAATGAATTGTGAGCGAAGAGACGCTGAAGTCTTTATACGACTATTAAACATGTGCAGTGGTTAGCTTCCTGTAAACAGCTGTCAGAGCCAAATCTAACTAAACCAGTGTGTAATGTGGCACCACAATAACTAAAACATCATCAGTAATACTTCTGTAAAATCATAATTCTAGTTTTTATATTTTAGTTTTTTCATGATTTCTTTTGTTTCAGTGAAAGCAGGAAGTGTTCGTCCAGGAGTCCCGACCAAACCAGCAGCGCTGACGTCACCACGCAGAGCCAGCGGTAAGAGTGTGTGTGTGTGTGTGTGTGTGTGTGAGAGCTGGATGTAGCTTTAGTACAATGGATCGTTTGAGAGCTTAGAGACACAAAACTTGCTCATTATGTTGCAGGAATATGTAAACGTGGAGAGATGGTGTGTGTGTGTGTGTGTGTGTAACAGAAAGAGGGGGGTGGGGGGGTTCTCGTATTCAATCCACAGCTTGTGAAAGAAAATGCAGCGATTGTGTGAGAGGAAAAAGCCTCCTCTGTTGTCAGTGCTGTGTGATTTCTACGTGTGTGTGTTCTTCAGCCAAGCCTTGTGATTGGTCAGCTTGACAGAGAATTCCCATTATGCAACTCTCCAGGCTTCTTATTGGCTGCTCCATAAACCAGGAAGTTTACAGTCGGTACTCTCAGTTGTGTCTCGGCTGTTTTACCGTTGTCGCAAGAAAAGGAAGTGTGTGTGCAAGATGTTTGTTACCTTGAGTTTTAAAAAAGCTCAGAAGTGTGTGACATGATATCCAAGGTTTGACCTGTTTGTAACATAAACACAGAGGTGTTTCTGACTTTATACATATGATGTCATTTAATCTGTGAAGGACATCATGAATGTTTAGAATGAGATAACACGGTTTGTTGTTTTGTCTTCTTTTAGACAATAACTATATTAAAACGTTCCTGCTTGTTGTTGCACTTCATCGTCTGACATGAATAACGTGTGACGATGTCACCAGCTCCTAATCTGGCCCCCAAACCCACCGGAGCCGCACCGACGCCTCCGGATCCCAACCCGGTAGTCCCGTCCAGACCTACAGCCGCCGCCACGGCACCCAGACCCTCGGCTCCGGCCCCGGCCCTCAGGAAAGGCCCCGTGATTCAGACCAGACCAGAGACCACCGCTGCAAACCAGAACTCCTCAGACCCCCCTCTGCCTCCACGGTAACTGAGAGATCTGTCCTGTTTATTCAATAGAAACTAAGGGAAGTGAAGTCAAAGTGTTTTCCATCACCATCTTTTCCAACACAAACAGGAAGCTGTAGCTCTGTTTTATTTTGAAAAGCAGCTTCTCTTCCTGTTTGGTGCCAGAAATCATTCTCCCTCTTTCTCTCCAGGCCTTCCAGCGCGAAGCTCCTCCCCCTTCGTCCTCCTCCAATCAAATCCAGCCCTGGGCGACCGCCGCCTCCAGCCGTCAGCTCCACGTCCTCGGCCAACCAGACGACTCCTCCTCCTCCGTCCAGAACAAGCCCCGCCCCCTCCGTTTCCTCAGCTGGCACTACGCCCCCTTCTCCTGTACCAGCCAATCAGATGCAGCCTCCACGGGCGTCAAAGAGAGGACCGCCTCTGCCCCCCCGCCCAAAACCTGGACACCCCCTCTATAACAGCTACGTGGTATGAACACACACACACACACACACAACTGCTGTCATAGACTTCTCTTCATTTTCTTAACTTTGTCTCAGAAACAGGAAGTCCTGATCGTCCTGGACGACCCGAGTCCCTCAGAGCACCAATCAGGTGAAGGGAGGAGTCAAACCGCCGTCATCGACCCATCACAGTGTCTCCTGGACCTGGACGCCCAACCAGAGCCCGCTCCAGATCAGGACTGCCAATCAAAAGCTTCCTTGGCGGGCCTCAGCCTATCGGACTCACAGGTAACTGAACAGACTTCAGACAACGTGGAGCTGCCGAACCTGAGAGGCGTTCAAGTTCCGCTTTAGCTTGGATGATCACACGTTGTATGAATGAGATGTATCTGCACTATTATAATAAAACAGGAGTGAACCTTCTTACTTCACAGGATGTAAGTTCTCTGTGTCTTTGTTTTCAGTCCATTCTTCCTGTTCAGCCCTCTGAGCCCAAAAAGCAGCCCGACCCTCCTGCTGTCAGGTCAGACGCTCTAACGCCACACTCATGAATACAGACAGCTGTTTATAGGAGTGTGTGTGTGTGTGTGTGTGTGTGTTTAACCGTGTGTGTGCGTGTGTGCAGCGGTCCTCGCTGCGTCGCCTTGTTCGACTACGAGGGCGAGGAGGACGACGAGCTCACCTTCTCTCAGGGTGACGTCATCGCCCTCCTGGAGCTCATCGGGCAAGAGTGGGGGCGGGGCCAGATCCACGGGCGGGTCGGGGTGTTCCCCCTGAACTTCGCCGAGGTGGTGGAGCCGCCGGCGGCGGTGTCGTCATCGTCATCGCCAGACGGAAAACCAACGTCAACGGAGAACTCGGTTACAGAAAGTACCGGTGAGCAGAAAGATGTTTTTACCTCGAATGACGTTGAGGTTGTTTGATGTTTAAAATACAATAAACTGTTGTGAAAATATACATGTAACTATAATTAATAATAATAATATATCACCTTACATACAAGAAATGTGTGCTTTACAATAAGGAAAAATAGACTTAAAATAAAATTAATCATTAATATAAAATAAGACTAACACTTAAAAATAAGATAAAAATGAAGATGAAATAGAATGCATGTCATAAAATTGAAAATAATCACACTGAATAATAATAATAATATATATATATAATATATATAATAATAATGATAAAATAAACACTGCAGCCGTTTCAAAATGTCTCCGTTCTCTTCTGTTATTGTCTTCATCATTTTAACACAGAAACTCAGAAAGTGTTGCATCGCGTGCAATCAAACTCTGCACAAGTATGTTAATAATAAAAAATATATATAGATAGGTAGGTAGATAGATGTATATGTTCAATATAAAACAAATAACTCAAGATAAAAACACGTTCCTCTCTAATAAAACCAAAGAATCACACTTTTCAAGCACGTCTTTGAAGTTTCTCTACGAACTGATCGACTATTATTGTTTTAATTATATTATGTTACATTATATTATATTATATTATATTATATTGCAGCTGGTACTTGTTTCTCAAAAAAAACATCATAAAATATTTAATTAAAGAAAAGTAGTTCACTAAATACAGTTGACATTAAACTTTCATTCTCCTTTTGAAAGCGAATTCAGTGCAGTTGAATTTTTGAATTTCATTGTAATGTTTTTGGGGGTTTTTTTGTCCTCAACAGCACCAAAGACCTCACAGGACCCCGACTCAGAGGTGAGTGTGTGTGTGTGTATGTGTGTGTGTGTGTGTGTGGTTGTATTGTTGGTGTTAGAAAGCTCCTTCATTTTCTAAAGCTGTTTTCAATGAAGATAAACAAGAGATTTTATTTATGGTCACATTCTTTCTCTATAAATTACACTGATGAGTCTGTAATGAATATTCATACTCATGCTTCTGCAGGAGGAGGAGTGGGCTGAGGCTCTGTTCGACTTCCCCGGTCAGACTGCAGACGACCTGTCCTTCCACAAGGGGGCGATCATCAGGGTGACGGAGCGCATCGACACCCAGTGGAGGAGAGGAAGAGTGGAGGGGAGGGAGGGCATCTACCCCGCTGCCTTCACGCAGGCCTGTCAGGGTAACACACACACTCACACTAACATGTCAGGGTAACGCACACACACACTAACATGTCAGGGTAACGCACACACACACACACCTGTCAGGGTAACACACACACACACACTCACACTAACATGTCAGGGTAACACTCACACTAACATGTCAGGGTAACACACACACACTCACACTAACATGTCAGGGTAACACACACACACACACACCTGTCAGGGTAACACACACACACACACACACACCTGTCAGGGTAACACACACACACTCACACTAACATGTCAGGGTAACACACACACACACACACACACCTGTCAGGGTAACACACACACGCTCACACTAACATGTCAGGGTAACACGCTCACACTAACATGT